ATCCACCTTTGAGCCATCTCTTGTGATGAGGATCTGTTGGACTGCAAATAAATGAGATGAAAATAAACCTGCATCCTTGTTTTGCTCAGATGAAACAGGAGATGAGTATTCCAAGCATATTCACTGAGTGTTGCAGTCCTTTTGTTATTTTCTTGGCTCAAGTAGGCCACTCATGCAGCGATGAGTGGTTTGTGATGCAATGTGAATTTGATAGTCCCCATACGTGTATGATATATATAAAACTAGCTGGGTCCCCATGAGTCTGTCACACATTTCTTAGGTTTAGTCGGCTCCTCATTATTATGTGTCCCAGTGTCTTTTCCCCTGGGATGTGCCATCAAAATAAAGAGAAATCCCCAATTTCATTCTGTACATGCCCTCGCTTATACGGCAGTGATTGTGTCTCTGAGAGATTTGGTATTTGTTATTGCATGCACTGAAGAGTTGCCTACATTTTTATTCATTGGCTTTTGACATAGTTTGACCCTGGTTTTACTGCTTTAATTCGATCTAAGGTGCTGATTTTATTGTTTTAATTTAATAAATTTTTCGTTTTTCATGTTAGGTGTACGACACTTTGTTTTCAGCTGGGAGTTGTCTGAAAGTGCTATATAAATAAATTGCTTGCGTGCTTGCTTGAAGCAAACCTTTCAGGTTTGCATTAACAGTCAGAAAGCTGGAAATGAGATTGATCAGGTCAAAATAAGATGAAATAGAGACAAAAACAACTCACTAAACGTCTACTTTCTGATATAAAGAAGCACGTATCTGTGCTGCAGTTATGCTATTTTAAACCTACAAGCAAAATAAAAACCCTGGACAGCTTGGTTTTGTTTGAGGTTATTTGTATTGACGTCATTACAGTTACATCATGGGTTGAAGGCTGCCAATGTTTCTTGGTCAAGACTCCAGTTTATTGGTACATCACTCAGAGTGAGAAATGGGTTATGTACAGACATTGATGTGTTCAGAGGACAATACTGGTGTCCACCCTAAACCTAAATAAACAAAAGGTTTCACTGACATCACAAACTGAATTCACATGTTCCAAAATAACTGCCCCCAGTAAGTCCTGGACTTTTCAGGATGGCTGCCACATGGCAACACTTGCTGCTGATTAGGAATCTTAGCTCACAGTGGCTCAAGATAGAGAAATGCGACAACAATAAGCTACTTTTACTGGAGTGCTTGTTTAGTTTGTTTAGTTTTTTATGCTTCCTTGCACCCCTGGAAACCTTGTTGAGCATAACTGTATGTTGTTAACTATGGATAATCCCTTTAAGGCGAAGCAGAGCCTTCATGCTAATCCCAGTGTAGAAAACGTGGATGCAATCCCACCAAGGCTGCATCTGGAAGTATTTGCAAGATAGCTCACAATGAACAGGAACAAATGGAGCTACAGACCTAAAATAATTATTTGCACTTTCCTTTAGACAAAAACTGCATATTTATTTAAACAGAGGCCACCGCAGTGAATCATCTGCCTCCTATTACACTGTCCTCTGTCACACCAACCTTCTGCATTCCTCATCCAGTACATCCATGAAACTCCTCTGTGGAGTGGACTTCCTCTTTTGTTCCTCCCTAGTAGCTTCATACTTCATATTGTTCAACATATTCACTATTTCTACTCTGCCTTGCCTCTCTATCTTGGTTTCCAAAACTCTTAGCTTGACCTGTCCCTTCAATGTACTCATTTCTGACCCTGTCAATCCAAAATTAAAGACTTTGCATCTTTAAATCTGAAACTCTAGCTCAACCTCTTATTTTTTGTTAGTACATCACAGCAGTTCCACAGGGAGGCTATAAGCCTGTGTGCTCCTAGGGTTTCAACAGAAATAGCATCAAGTGTAAAATCTTTTCTAAATCAGTTGTGCAGGTTGAGAAATGTTCTACTGCTGCTTGTTTCATGTGTGAAATCAAAATGACTCGTGCTGTAAAGTAGCTGAAGGTGTCTGTCTCTCTTAAAAAGGTATTTTACAACAATAAAAATTCAAAATCAAAAGCAATAATCTCTATTGTTTCTAGCACTTTCTGTGTTAACTCTTATGACTATTTCTGGAAGAAAAACATCTATCTCATGAAATCTACATAATTTCGACATGATTTGCCAGGGAGACAGCCTAAGAGTGAGGTGTGAGAGCACAATTCTGCGAAGCTGTGATGTGGACGCTGGCACCGAGGCTGAGAATACTAATATTGTGATTCTCCAGCACCACAGCCAAATTGCCTTTTTTTTTTCTTAATCAAACATCATCACATCATATTGTTAGCAAGTTAGCATGTTGACATGATGCATTTAAGACAAAAAGCACCACTGTGCCTAAATAAAGCCTAACAGAGGCGTTAACATTGCTGTGGTGTTGGCATGTGAGCATGCATTTTCAAGTGTGCAACTTAAAACTTGCAATAGATCTGTGATTTGAACTTGTGCATATTTCCTGCTAAAGATGATTGCTCGAGGGCGGTCCAAGTGCAGCAACAAATATTTTCTTTGCGTCTACGAGCCATTATATATATCTCTAGATCAGCTGCTAATCATTTTCTTTCCTGTAGCTTGGGCAGACTGGCATGCTTAAAGCTCTTCTTAAAATAACCGCACAGCTCCCCATACGCAGAATTTAAAACTAGCTAGAGATATCTGCGCAAGTTCCCTTTAGTGTTGCAAATTGTAATCAAGTATTTTTGTTGACTGACAATAATGCATTCTGAAAATGTCAATTCCAGCCATTTCAAAGCATTCTATTTAATAAATAATACAATTTGCTATTGTTTATTCATTACAGTCTACAAGAAGCTTTATTGTTTCATGGGTAGTGTATGAATGTTTGTGTGTTTAGTTATAGCTATTACATGTTTACTGTAGCCAGTGGTTTCCTGCAAAATTTACTGAGTATATTGTGGCAGCTGACTGTAATGCAAATGCTGTAATAACATTGTCATATAGTTTTATAAATACGTGTTTGATACATTTCTTACTGTAAAATTTGCCATTTTGTTGATAATAATGTACCACCCAAAACTTTGGTATCACGATGACCACAAGTTGCATTCATTCTTTTGTCAATTGCAAATGCCAGGTTCAGTGCTCTTTAGGGGAAATGTTCATGTTTCGTATTGTATTGTAATAAAAATGTCCTCCAGTTTTCAAGAGTGATACGTTATAGTTCATTTTGTGTTTTGCTGTTTGTTTGGGGG